AAAAAAAAAAAAGAACTGATGGTACTGAAGGAAGAAGGGTACCCACACTGAAAGTCAATGGTGAAAAACAAGACTTTAGGAATTGACAAAACACCCACTGAGAGGTTTCAACAAACAGAGGCAGCACTGGGAAGCTCATTTCTTTATGATAAGAAATTTGGAAGATAGCTACCAGGCCGACTGACTGGAAGAGAGCTGTATTTGTGCCCCTTTCTTTGGAGAAGGGTGAACCAACAGAATGTGGAAATTTTCTAACAGTACCATTAATATCACACAAGTAAAATTTTGCTGAAGACAATTAAAAAATGGCTATAGCAGTACGTCCACAGGGAATGGCCAGAAATTCAAACCAGATTTAGAAGAGACTGAGGAACACGGGCTATCACTGCTGATGTCAGATGGATCTCAGCTGAAAACAAAGAATACCAGAAAGATGTTTACTTGTGTTTTATTGACTATGCAAAGACATCTGACTGTGTGGATCATAATAAATTATGGATAAGATTATGAAGAATTAGAATTCCAGAATACTTAAATTGTGTTCATAAGGAACCTGTACATAGTCGAAGACACAGTGGTTTGAACAGAACAAGGGGATATCGTATGGTTTAAAATTAGAAAGTGTGTGTGTCAGGGCTGTATCCTTTCACCATACTTATTTAATCTGTATGCTGAGAAAATAATCTGAGAAGCTGGACTATATGAAGAAGAACATGGCAATCAGGACTGGAGGGAGACTCATTAACAACCTGTGATATGCAGATGACACAATCTTGCTTGCTGAAAATAAAGAAGACTTGAAGCACTTACTGATGAAAATCAAAGATTATAGCCTTCAATATGGATTATATCGCAACATAAAGAAAACATAAATCCTCACAAGTGGACCAATAAGTGATATCATGAAAAATGGAGAAGAGATTGAAGTTGTCAAGGGATTTCATTTTACTTGGATCCACAATCAATGCTCACGGAAGCAGCAGTCAGGAACTCAGAAGACAGAATGTATTGGGCAAATCAGCTGCAAAAGACCTCTTTAAATTGTTAAAGAGCAAAGATGTCACTTGGAAGACTAAATGTACCTGATCCAAGCCATTGTCTTTTCAATAGCCTCATATTCATGTAAGAGCTGGACAATGATTAAGGAAGACTGAAGAAGAACTGATGCATTTAAACTGTGGTGTTGGCAGAGAATACTGAATATACCAAGAACGGTCAGAAGAAGGAACAAATCTATCTTAGAAGAAGTACAGCTGGGATGTTCCTTAGAAGTGAAAATGACCAGACTTCTTCTCAAGCACTCCGGTCATGTCGTCAGGAGGGAGCAGGCCCCGGAGAAGGGCATCATGCTTGGTAAAACAGAAGGTCAGTGAAAAAGGGAAGACCCTCAGTGAGATAGATTTGACCCAGTGGCTGCAACTATGGGCTCAAGCATAGCAACAATTGTGAGGCTGGCACAGGACTGGCAGTGTTCCCTTCTGTTGTACACAGGTTGCTGAGTCAGAACCGACTCAACGGCACCTAACACCACTCCTAAAAAGGGCTTTCTTTCGGAAGCCAGCCATAACCAAGGTAAATAAAATACCTGGCCTCTCTTTCCAGACCAGTCCTATCTCCTTTCTCATTGAAGAAAACACCAGTCTGTGTCTACATGAGAAGCGGGGGCTGTTATGGATTGAGCTGTGTTTCCCCAAAATATGTGTTGTAAATCCTAACCTCTATGCCTGTGGTTATAATCCCACTTGGGAATGAGTTATCTTTATCATGTTAATGAGACAGGATTAGTGCAGGGTGTATCTTGAGCCACTCTCTTATAAAATATAAAAAGAGCAGATTAAGGAAGCAGAGATGAGGGAAGACTGACACCAAGCCATAAGGAGATCTACAAGGAACCAGGAAATAGGCTGAAGAGACAAGGACCTTCCCTTAGAACCAACAGCGAGAGAAAGCCTTCCCCTAGAGCCAGAACCCTGAAATTGGACTTCCAGCCTCCTAAACTATGAGAAAATACATTTCTGTTTGGTAAAGCCACCTACTTGAGGCTTTTCTATTATAGCAGCACTAGACAACTAAAATAGGAGCGTTTTCTCTCTTATTTATATACCACTCTCCCATCATGCAATTTCTTCTCACCCATCCCTTACCTTTAGTTCAAATACTGGTGTATCAATTACTTCTGCACCATGGCGCTTGAAGCAGTTGATGATTACATCAAACACCTTCTCTCGAACTGCCATCTGCCGAGGACTGTAGTCTCTTGTGCCCTTGAAGTCAAAATGAGCCAAAGAACCAGGGATGGGATTTAAAAACAAAGAACAATAAACTCTGGAAATACAAGATACCTCAAAGATGAAGAAAGCAAATCCTGCATCATGCTTAGATTTTACTACAGGCCATTGAGTTGTAAAACAAGTACGAATAAATCAAAATGAAAACAACAACAAAAAACCCCCAAAACCAAAGCCACTGTCACTGGGTTAATTCTGATTCACAGTGACCCCATGCTTCTTTATGGACGCAGATCACCAGGCCTTTCTTTGGTGCTGCTGGGTGGAGGTCCTACTAATTCCCATATCTATTTGCTATCACTTTCTAAATTCCATTCCCTTTTTCAGATTGACTCTATTTTCTAGAATTCTTAGAACTCTTTTCTGTGAGCCATTTATCTAGTAACTCTCCAGGATAGCAGAACATTTTCCTGCCTCACAGAACACACCTACCTGTTGACAGGCTCATAGCCAACTCAAACTGGCTTAACTGAATTTCAAATTTTATAAGCAACTTTTCTTTCCCATTGTAACATTTCTTATTATTCCTAGCCAGTACTATTTGCTCTCTAATTTATTTCTGTATTTTGAAGTTGAATTATAGGATGTTAAGAAATTAATTCATTACTTAAGGCCACTTGAAAAGCTCACTTGTCTAGAAATTTGTTCTTTTTCCCAGGTCAGAGCGCCTAGTCTAGGTTTATACCCTACCCCAGCAGTTCTCAAACTGTCTGGTCTCAGGACTCTGTATCTCTTAAAATAGATCCCAAAATGGATTATAGCTATCAATATTTACTGTATTAGAAACCCAAACAGCAGAAGTTAAGCACTATTTTTTAATCCATTAGATGTTAACATAAATAACATTTAAAGAAAATGTATAACTATTTTCCAAAACAAAAACATTTACTGAGAAGATTGGTACTGATTTATATTTTTGCAAATCTTAACATCAGGCTTATTATAAGCCAGCTAGGTTCTCATATGTCCTTTTTGCATCCAATCTGTTGTTCTGGCTGAAGTATATTAAAAAATTCTGGCCTCACACAGGTATGTAGTTATAAAATGGAGTAATATTTTAATAAATTCTTCAGCCAACTGTGAATATTCCCTCTACTGCACTGGAATTAAGCAAGCAATAATTTTTCAAAGATTGGTTGCACTGTGGAATCTACAACTGTACCTGTGAACTTTTCATACTGTTGCATTAAAATCCATTGGTCTAGCTTTGCACTTTCGATGGGTCTTTTACCAATGCATGAATTTATAACATACATCTGTCATTTGGGAAATAGTAGCTCATTTTTAAGTTATTCAGCTCTTCCAAATATTGATACATTTCATTATACATTATCAGAAAATCCTATTTGTTAATATCACCACAGATCAAGAAAGTCTTTAAGTTCTGGGGAACTATCAGGTTCACAGTGGAAGATACAAGTTTTTTTTAGCGTCATTTGTTTATTGAAGAAATTGGTTCATTTGTCCTAAAGAATTTCTCACATTCTAGATTTGGCTAATGATATCCTCAAGATGCCATTTAACCTGTTTCTCCATCTCCCATATTTCCTATAAGCTGGTTGTTGTTGATGTTGTTGTTGTGTAACATCAAGTCGGCCCTGGCTCATAGCAACCTCTCCTTGGGTTTCCGAAGCAGTATCACTACAGAAGTAGGATTTCCCAACCTATTTCTGAGGAGTGGCCAGTTAGGTCTAAAGGCCTAATTTGACTCAGACTCAATTTCTCCTGGCAATAATACTCTGTAGGTGGTGTTGTCTACTACATGTTGCATCACATAAGGAGGAATACAATGTCTGGTTGTCCTACTTTTAGTGATATTAAGACTTATCACTGAGTCCAGGTAAGCCCAGCCTGATTTATCATAAATTCTCCATCCATTTTTTACCTAATAGTGTTAGTAATCATTGATGATCACTGCTTTGGGATTTTACAGTGTCTCTTTAACTTTTGAAAATAAGTTGTGTGTAGAAAGGAACAGGTCAATGAACTTAGGAGTCCAAGTAATTAAACTTAAACGTCAACATTTCAACACAAGGAAGACAGACCTTCTCACAACTTGTAATTATATATCCAGGTGTGGGATTGCTTATTCTAAGTCTGTCTCCTTTAGTAGAATGTAAGCTCCATTGAGGGCAGGCTATATAGTTCACCACAGTATATTCAGTGTTTTGTATGGTGTTAGGCACACAGTAAGCCCTCAATAAATATCTGCTGAGACAAAGAAGGAGTAGCGGCAGCAGGCAGATTCCCCTGAGCACCCAACTAGCCTAGTTTCTGCCATCACTAAGTGTCATTCTAGAATGACCTAGGTGGATCCCAGTCCAGCCCAGTGTCCAGAGCAACTGTGTTTCCTTGGCAGTATTTCTTTCAGATCCTCCTCAGTGACTTAAAGAGCTCTGGTGGTGGTTAAAGCATCCAGCTGCTTTCAAAAAGGTTGGCAGTTCAAACCCAGAACCCACCAACCATTCTGTGAAAGAAAGATGAGGCAGCTGGCCTCTGTAAAAATTTACAGCCTTAGAAACTTTAGGGCAGTTCCATTCTGTCCTATCAGGTCGCTGTGAGTCAAAATCGACTTGATGGCATTGGGTTTGGTTTGTTTGTTTCAGTGACCTAGTTCGAGGAACAAGCATATGGGCCCTTGGGCATGGGAATGAGGGGAGGAGAAGGAAGATGAAATTTACCTTGGGGGTTTTGAGCACAAATTTCTGTTTCCCTTCATCAGGGCCCAGCTGTGCCTTCAGTTTCAGGAGTTTTGCCACCTCCTCCTCGATCTGTGTACGAAAGGAGGCGCTGGACTAGTCATCTGTCACTTCCCTCCCTTCCCCACCATTCATTCAGTATCTCTCCCTCATCATGACCTAAGGCCGATCTCTCTCCCTGCGCCTAGCTTTGCTTCTCTTGGAACCCACTGACCCCCTCCCGTCCAGCCTGACCTCCTCCCAGTCAGTGCAATCCCTTCCCCCACATCCTTGTCCTCTCTCTCCAGACCACCCCGATCTCGATCCTGCCTTGGCCTCTCCCTAGACCTACCAGCCCCTGCCACCCAGGTCTCACCTGCTCGGCGTTGGCCTTCTGCTGCTTGAGGGCCCGTACACGTTCTCCCTGAAGTCGCACCAGCTCCTCCAAGGCCGCACGCTCTGCCATGCCGGCTGCAAATCCCAGCAGACGGCTGGCTAAACCGCTGCCGCCGCCGCAGCTTTAGCCTGGATGATTTCCGGCTACCGAGTCGCTGTCCGGCGCGCCCAGAGAGCCTCCGCCTTGCACATACCCAGTTCCGGTTCCTGCCGGAAGTGTCGACACTGACTGCGGAGGAGTGTGGGAGGTGCAGCGGTCAGTGTCTTGAGGCATTTGAGAGGTGGGAGGGTGCATACCTTCTCCTGGTGCTTCGGCGTCGTCTCTGCAGTGGTCCGCACCCTTCCTGGGGTCCGACCTGCCGCATCCCCAGTACCGTTGGCTCCTGTCCCGGAAAGTCGGCTTCCTGTTGGGTGATGTCCCAGTTCGGACTCCTGCCCGGGAGGGCCTGGGTTGCACTGATCAGGGAGCTCCTGCGGCCACCCCACTATATCTGCATCCGGGCGGTCGGTTCTCATAACCAGGTGAGCCGGACTGAGGGAGTTTCGGTCTGTTGGGGCAAGGCCTCGAGGTCTGAAAGTATGGATTTGTGGCATGTGTTCCAGTAATGTTGCAGTCTATTTTTATTGGATGCCCACTGTGCCGGCACTGAGCTAAGCGTTTTAAATGCTTTAATCTTCCAGTCTTGTGACGCTGAGATTATTATTTCCATTTTACAGTTGAGGAAACCGAGGCTGCAAGGACACATTGTAGAAGATTATTTTAATTCAGGGCCACAGTTCTTTATCTGAAACTCTTTGATCTAGATGCATTTCGAAATTTGTTGACTTTGGAAAAAGTAAAAGGTGATATATAATGTGATATACCATACTTCACTCCTTCAGCTCTCTAGTGGGGTAGTGCCTAAGGCATTTGACTGCTAACCAGAAGGCTGGCGGTTCAAACCCACCAGCCACTCCTGGGAAGGAAGACTGGGCAATCTACTTCCATAAAGATTTACTGCCTCGGAAACCCAAGGAGGGGTAGCTATGAGTCGGAATCAACTCAATGGCAGTGAGTTACTTCACACCCTTAGTGGGATCTGGGGCGGTACCAATTAGCAAACACTTTAATATTTCTTAAGCAAAATGTATGAATATTCTCACCGAGATAATGAAGCACCTTAAGTTGACTGATTACAGTTCACGTTAGAGTTTACCTCAGAAAATATTTTTGATTTTGGAATCTCAGATGAGGGATTGTGGATTCGAACTGCCATACCTTGGAGGAGAGAATCTGCCACAGTATTGGAAATGCTGCATTCTACATTTCTGGAAGGGCATACTGCCTGCTCATAATAAGCAAATATAGTAACAAACTGTTTTGCCTTTCTTCTGAAGGACCCTATTGTATTCCTAGTAGATGCTTTGTGTTATGAACAACAGGATAATCACAAAACCCATTTCTGTTTATTCCACAGACTTGTTCTATGCCCTTGGACTTCTCTTCTTTCTTCTAATTATATTTTTCCTATCTCCAAACGTGATGACAAGAGTTGTTGTTGTTATGTGTCCTCGAGTCGGACCTGACTCATAGCGACCCCTCCTTGGGTTTCCGAAGCAGTATCACTACGGGTTTGAACCTCCAGCCTTCTGGTTAGCAGTCAAGTGCCTTAGGCACTACGCTACCAGAGCTCCCAAGAACTGAGAAATGGAGAAGATTATACTAATTTCTAACCCTAGATAGTTGTAACGGTGGGTTGTTCTGTGCCTTCATTGTTCTTGGATGCTTAAATTTTGTTTTCAGCATACACTGAAAAATACTTGAAAAAATATTTGAAAAAAAAATTTCAAATACACTGAACACAACGCAGCGCACTGCCATTGAGTCCGATCTAACTCATAGTGACCTCCTTGGGTTTCCGAGACGGTATCACTACAGAAGTAGATTGCCCAGCCTTCCTTCTGAGGAGTGGCTGGTGGGTTTTCACTGCCAGCCTTCTGGTTAGCAGTCAAATGCCTTAGGCACTACGTTTGCCAGAGCTCCTAAATACACTGAGGACTCATGTATTTTGAAGACCTAATCTCATGTAAATTACTACAACTTGGTTCTTGGAGGTAGGGGCTGAGATTAGGATAGATAAATGGTGCTCAGCCATTTATCTATCCTATTGCTTAGGGCCAAAGGTCTTTGCAGGTTGGTGCTCCATCAGGCCAGAGATGTCACAGGTCTGGCCAGTGTCCAGGGGAGCCACATCTCATATTCCTTCTTCTGCCAGGTCGCAGAGGCAGTGTCAACATCTCAACTGAAAGCCAATCAAGAAAAATCAAATTGTATTATCAAGACCCCAAAGGTAATGCCCTTTGCCCCATCCTGTACTATTAGAGTGCCTTGAAGGAATGCCTTCCACTCTGCTTCTCTTTCTCTGACCCCTTTTAATGTCCTTTTTAGACATTAAATTATATATTTTTTAATTACTAAACTACTGGGTGGGATTCAGTCATGTAAATTCGAGAGATTTCATTTCCAGCCCTTAGGTTATAGTATAGCTGTAATTTATTTTTTTTGCCTTAAATTGACTCCCCTTCCCCACTTTGGCTGCTTTTGGTTCCCAGGGCACCAGGGATCTTAGTCCCCAGCAGATGGTTGTAAGGGAGAAAATTCTTGATACGGTTGTCAGCTGCTTTAAACGGCATGGGGCAAAGGGGTTGGATACCCCAGCATTTGAGCTGAAGGTAAGAGGAAAAGAAAGAATATCTGGAATCTTGTTTCTTTACTGACTTCAGTGTCTCAAAGGGCATCTAGCTTGCCTAGAGTCCTTGGACCTGTGGTTCTGCTTTATGTTTGACCCCTGTAGGAAACACTCACTGAGAAGTATGGAGAGGACTCTCTGCTCATTTATGATCTGAAGGATCAAGGTGGAGAGCTGTTGTCTCTTCGCTATGACCTTACCGTATCCTTCTGAGTACTGAAACCTGACCTATCTCTTTCTGAACCAAGAGGGCATTTTATGATAAAAGGGAGGAGAGTGACTCTGGGACTCTGTAGGTCCATTGGGGGCCTCTACTCCCAGTTTCTCCTAGAAGACAATTTTGCCACCAGAGCCTGGCCCGGAACACTGTCATTTAACTAATGTGTATCAGAATCTCTTGGGGGAGTTTTCAGAAATACAAATTAGCCTCCGGTCCCAAAACAAACCTAGCCCTGCCATTGAGTAAATTCTGACTCCTAGCAACCCTATAGGACAGAATAGAACTGCCCCATAGGGTTTCCAAGACTATAAATCTTTACTGAAGCACACTGGCTCTTTCTCCCAAGGAGTGACTGCTGGGTTTGAACCTCTTTTGGTAAGCAGCCAAATGCCTTAACAATGGCGTCACCAGAGCCAGATATTTTTTTTTTTTCTTGTGATTTGGGTGAAAGTTTACAACAGAGATTCTTAATTTTAGCTGGGGTGGGCATGCACAGTAATTTGCGTTTTAAACAGGCATCTTGTCAGCTGCTTTAAACGGAGTAATCAATATTCAATGAATTAATTAAGAAGCAATGGCTTAGAAAACCAAAAAAAAAAAACCAAACTCACTGGCGTCAAGTCGGCTCCGACTCACAGCCACCCCTCCTTGGTTTCCAAGGTGGTATCCCTACGGAAGTAGATTGCCCAATCTTCCCTCCAAAGAGTGGCTGGTGGGTTTAAACTGCCAGCCTTCTGGTTGGGAGTCAGATGCCTTAGGTACTACATCACCAGAGCTCCTAATGGCTTAGAAGTTGTAGGCAAACCCAGGTACTAAAGCTTGACGATTTTGAGAGGGTTTAAAATTGATCCAAATGGAAGGTAATGGCCTAGACCAGAAGTGTTTGGGTTATTTCTATCTCTTCTTGCCCTGCTTTCTGCTAAACTATCTGTGCATAAGGCATAAGGTTTGGATGCAGTATCCTTTCTCCTTAACCTATTTGTGTGAGGTCCCTTTTGCTCGTTACCTGGCAATGAATAAAGTGAAGAAGATGAAACGCTATCATGTTGGAAAGGTGTGGCGGCGGGAGAGTCCAACCATAGTCCAAGGCCGTTACAGAGAGTTCTATCAGTGTGTAAGTGACTTGATGGGGGTAGCACAGTTTGATAATTCTGGAGACCATACCTTGGGAACCGGCTGATCAGTGGAGACTTTTTTCCCTTCCTTTTTCTTTGCTCTAGGATTTTGACATTGCTGGTCAATTTGACCCTATGATCCCTGATGCAGAATGTTTGAAGATCATGTGTGAAATCATAAGTGGGTTGCAGCTAGGGGACTTTCTTATTAAGGTGAGGTCAGGGAGGACTGAGGAGAAGAATCTGGGTTTGTGTGATGCTTTTTATGCTTGTCGCAAAACAGATGACCTAGCCTTTAAGTCTACAGGGCTTAGAACATCTGTTTCATTTTCTATATACTTTTCTGTGAGACTTCCTTTTCATCCTTTTTATGGGTCAAGAGAGCAGGGACTGCCACTATTATGAGGGAAAGAACACTGACAGGATATTTGGGTTACTTACGTTGAATTCACAGGTCAATGACCGGCGGATTATAGACGGGATGTTTGCTGCCTGTGGTGTTCCTGAAAGCAAGTTCCGAGCCATCTGCTCCTCGATAGACAAATTAGACAAGGTAAAAAAGAAGACAGCCTTCAGTAGACCCCATGTAGGTTTCTCTGCTGTCCTCAAATCTGCATTTCTAGAGAATAAGTAGCTGATGGCTAGAAGTGAACTATTTCTGGGAGGAAGGTAAGGTGAGGCAAGGCCCAAGTTCTGCTGGGCAGTGGGGACTGTGGCTGAATTTCCTAAGGTGCCTTCTGACTTTGCTGAATGTAGTATTAGCTAATGCTGACATACATACTGAATGAAAGTGAGATGTCCTTTTCTAGTTAGAGAAAGGTCTTGAGACTGAGCTAATGTTTGGGTATATATGCAGATGTCTTGGGAAGATGTGAGACACGAGATGGTGACAAAGAAGGGCCTGGCTCCTGAGGTGGCTGATAGAATTGGGGATTATGTCCAACGTAATGGTAAGAACCAGAGTTTTCAGAGCTATATGATAGAACTAGGGTAAGGGTGACATGTGTACAACTTCTTCCTCTGACATTGCTCCTTTCCAGAGATGGAGCTGAGCTCCAGAGCCTGGCCTGAATTTAGTTCCTCTTTTACTAATTGTAGCACTTTGTGTTTTCACATCACAAAAGTAGGGGCAGAGGAGGAGCCAAGTCATATGATTTCTTTTTTTTAGGAAAATGAGTAGGACTGGCTGGTGCACATTAGGGATAAATTTGGATGAAGGACATCTAGATGAAAATAATAGACCTTATTTTTCCTCGCATGTCTTCCCAGGTGGGGTATCCCTGGTAGAGCAACTGTTCCAGGATCCCAGACTATCCCAGAGCAAGCAGGTCCTGGAGGGCCTGGGGGACCTGAAGCTGCTGTTTGAATACCTGACTGTATTGGGAATTGCTGAGAAAGTAAGATGAGTTGAGAGTGGGCTTCCTGCTGAGCTCTGGGCTCTGAGGGTCCTAAATCTTGTCTGAAATTGACCATAGCCTTCTCCCCGCAGATCTCTTTTGACCTAAGCCTGGCCCGTGGCCTGGACTACTATACAGGAGTAATCTATGAAGCAGTGCTGCGGCAGAGCCCAAATGAGACTGGAGAGGATTCCTTGAGCATTGGCAGTGTGGCTGCTGGTGGGCGTTATGATGGGCTGGTGGGCATGTTCAACCCCAGTGACCACAAGGTGCCATGTGTAGGGCTCAGTATTGGGGTAGAGCGGATCTTCTCCATTGTGGAGCACAGAATGAAGGTAGGTCCTAGGGGTGAGTGAGTGGGGCCAGAGGCCTAAAAACCCTTATGTTTCTGAAGGTGCAGCTAGATCATTTTTTTGACGACGACTCTTATATATTGGAGTCATTTGTGCCAAGTTTTTTTTTTTTATTATTAGTTTTTCCATCTTTTCTCTCTTACTAGGTTTTTGGTGAGAAGGTACGGACCACAGAGACCGAAGTATTTGTGGCCACACCACAAAAGAACTTTCTCCAAGAACGATTGAAACTAATCGCAGAGCTCTGGGATGCTGGGATCAAGGTATGGTGGAGTTGATAGCCGATCCATCTAGGTATATGGGGAATTCAATCCCAGGCCCATTTCTACCTTAATGTTAGTTGGAACTCCAGATGTTTTTTAGTCTTCACTAAAGTGGCTTCTTAGTATTAGAGGACAGCCACTTCTTTCTGGCTGCCTTGAAAATATTTACTCCTAGGATTAGTGTGCTAAGTCACTTCTGAGCCCTCTACTCTGTCTTTATTGCCCTTTTCAGGCTGAGCTGATGTACAAGAACAACCCTAAATTACTAACCCAGTTGCACTACTGTGAGAACATGGGCATACCACTGGTGGTCATTATTGGTGAGCAAGAAATGAAGGAAGGGGTCATCAAGCTTCACACAGTGGCCAGCAGGGAGGAGGTGAGTGGGGCAGACAAAAGGAATCAAGTGTTTCTACCATTCCCAGATTCTTTCAAGAGATACGTATATGTATCTTCTAATTGGAGAAATACCTCCAGGGTTAATAGGGATAGAGATAAATCAAGATCCACTCCAAACAACTATTGCAGTCAATGAGTATTGGCTAGGTAGTCAGGACAGATGAAATCTGAATGGGTATTTTGAGACTAATGACATGAGGTGCAGATTGTTGTTGTTATGTGCCGTGGAGTCAGACCTGACTCATAGTGACCCCTCCTTGGGTTTCCGAGGTAGTATGACTATGGAAGTAGATTGCCCAACCTTCCGTCCGAGGAGCGGCTGGTGGATTTGAACCACTAGCCTTCTGGTTAGCAGTCAAGTGCCTTAGGCACTAAATTTGAATCCCTATACTCTTGAAGGCAAGAGCTCTGGTAGCATAGTGCCTAAGGCCAGAAGGCTGGCAGTTCAAACCCACCAGCCACTCCTCGGAAGGAAGGTTGGGCAATCTATCCGTAGAGATACTGCCTTGGAAACCCACGGAAGGGTCACTATGAGTCAGGTCTCACTCCATGGCACATAACAACAACAACAACAACAACATTCTTGAAGGCATACATTTCTCCAGGTCAACCTGAAGCATGCACTACTCCTTATTGGTTGTTTAATTACTGGGGGCAGATGCAGAATAGAATGAATCTGGGAAAGCAGTGGCTAAGGAGCTCGTATTACTTTCGAGTTTGTCACATGAGGGTTCTTTATGTTTCAGGTTACCATTAAACGAGAACATCTTGTGGCTGAAATTGAGAAGCGACTATCTGATTCTTGATCCTTGCCTGACTGCCATCTTCAGCTTTTTGTAGAAAAGGTTTCATCTACGACTAAGTTCCTGATGGATCTCACCGCTGCTGGCCAGGACGGGTGACAAGTGCCTTCTCCTTCCATTCTTCCTTGGTACAGAATTATAGACAGTCCTAAAGACACTTGGGTCCAGTGCCCTCGAGTCATTAGTGTGAGCACCTTTTCTACATGGGGGCAGATGGCTCATACTTTAAAGAAATATACTTTAACTGCAGAGGAGATGGCAGATTTGAAGTGCCACTGAATGCTGCCCAGAGGTGCTGAGATGGTTGCTCTGAGCAAAGCTCTGAGAGAATCGCCTCAGGATAAAGGATTCTGAGCAGCTGAAATCAGAATCCAGACACTTAACTTTCCATTGCAGCTTCTGAAGCTGAGGCTGGTGAATCTGTCCACAACAGCCCTTGGCCTGTTCAAGGAGTTTTGGGAGACAGCAAGAAGAGTCAGTGGTTGCTTTCTGCTGATGTGTGAAGACAGAAATGCTAAAGCACTGGATGCGAAGCAGTGTCCAGATTGATCTGGTATATCACTCTAGCCCATCCGGTAGGATGGTTGTTTAATGATGTGGTTATCTCTCTGGCCCATCCACAGAGCAAGGCTGTCTGTTTAAGTATCCTGAACATTGAACTTAATAGATGACAAGATTGAAATATGATCTTTTGAGATTTTGAAGATCATTTCATGTGCCAGAGTCATTTTGACTGTTCTGTGCTCTGTTATAGAGGTGGCTGTTTTATAAGTGGTTGGATACATTAAATAAAATATTAAATGTAGTACATTGAGTAATTTGTTATTAGGGGAGTAGGCCATTGAAAGCCCTCATTGTGAGCTGGGAGGAAACTCCTTGGGATGATTCTTACATATTCAGTGAAGCAAGCAGCCAGTCTGTCATGACCCTAAAAATCAACATACAGTCAGCCATCTGCTGGAATGCTTCACCATAAAGTGTTGCTGATGGCTGACCTTCCCATGTCCAATCACGTTGATTGCTATATGGACTGGATGACTGTAATGTTCTCCAGTTGAAGGAAAAATGAATTAACCAAAAGGTGTTAGAATTGCTTCAAGTAAAAGAGAGAAGGTGCAAAGGGTGCTTTCCATATGTTTTTTGGCTGTTGCAAAACCTTTAGTGTAGGTTAGGGCCATAGCCCTAGTGCATGCAGGTGAATGGGGCATCCATGGTCTCTTAATAGCGCTTAAGCTTCAAAGATGGTTTAGAAGCTCACCACAATGCACGCAAAGTTGATTAGGCTAGATTAGAGGGCAGTTTCTGAACCTCAAGTTTCCTTGTTTGTAAATAGAGGCTCCCTAATGTGATTGTTGGGCATTCTTACTTCCATAGTGATACTACCTCAGAAACCCAAGGAGAGGTCGCTATGAGTCGGGGCCGACATGGCAAATAACAACAACAATGTGATTGTATTGAAAGAGCGAAAAAAACATTTGCAGGTGCCCTTACTTCCGTGTAGCTTCATGTTCCCCTTGCGCCTGCGCTGTTTCCTTGGAGTAGAGGCGGGGCCAACAAAGCTATTTTAGAAGTCCTCCAGTCCTTAGCTCTTTTAGAAAACGACACTCTAAGCTTATTGGAGAACTACTTTGCTTTACGGCAGAAGACCGCTTTTTACGACGTTTTTCGGCTTCCCATTCACTTCGCAGCGAAGATGGCGTCTGGCAGCGGGGTAGGTGTTCTGTGTGAGGGTATGGTTTGGGGTGCCTCTCTGAGCGGAAAAGAGGCAGACTCCTGCCCGGGACTGGCAACCCGACAGTTCCTCGCGATCCCAGAGTCCGGGTGCGAGAGTTGCCTCAGAAGGACTTGGTGCAGGGTTAGTGGAACCGCGGAGGTCTCGGGTTAGGGACCCGAGGCGACCTCAGGCTCCGGGTACGGGTCCACTGAAGCTTCGTTCTCGAAAGGTCCTGAGGCCACCTTAGCTATAAGGAGGCGGTTCCCTCAGTTTCTCTAGGGCTTCGGGCACGGTTAGCAACAGATCTTGGGTGCTTTTTTTTCCTACAGACGAAAAACTTGGACTTTCGCCGAAAGTGGGACAAAGATGAATACGAGAAGCTCGCTGAAAAGAGGCTCACGGAAGAGAGAGAAAAGAAAGATGGTGGGTGCCTACTGTAGCAAGGGCCAAGGGTATTACAAAATCGATGACATGAGAGTGAGTGGAAGTTGCCCCTTCCACCCTGTGCTACCTTTGGCGGAGCGTTCCTTCCCTGATCTTTGGTTTCTTATGTATAAAGTGAGGCTGAGGAAGTGGACTGAAGTGGTTTTTGCGATCCTTTCCACCTCTGTTGCCCTCTGCTTCCTTGTGTTGTCTTTCTTTGGTTCATTTGGTGTTTTCCTGATGTACAGGAAAGAGACTGGAATTCTTAGCAGTGTCAGAGAAGACATTAAGTGGAGTGTACTGCTGCTGTGCATTCCCACTTTTGACCCCTTTTTTCCCTTGAACTGGGGAGAACGTTTCTGGCCCACTCAAGATTCTCCCAGTCTGAAAAGAGCAGGAGCACTCATCAAGGAACAAGTGTGATTGTTTCAGCTAGTACTTAATAGTGCTGTTTCTCTGCTTTGTATAATGTCAGGGAGCTTCTCTCCTAAAAGTCTCACTTTACAAAAGGAGATGTCTTATTTTCTTGTCTATTTTGAAATTTGTACATCCTTCTATTCATTTTACTTTCACATCACCTTGCACTACCAATTATTATTTTCTATGTAACATGTATGACAGTGCTTGACACAAAGCAGTTATTTCCTAAATGCTGGTTCCATTCCCCATCCTCTCTCCTTTTTATTTGAAGCAGCTCTCTGAAGGTTCCTTTCTGTGTTATGCATAGGGTAATTGTATGGGAGCATTACTGGGTGTCCTTACTCTTCTTTCAAAAAGTTGCTTTTTGTGCAAATTCCTCCCTTTAACTCAGTTAATTAATGAATAGAACACGTTTCTTTCAGACTTGATGGCTTTAAAGTGGAGAAAAGCTATAAAAAATCAAGGTTTATCATTTATCCCTGTGTTCAGGTTCTCCCTAGCTGCTGCTTCAAGTGCCCATTGTGTCCCTTGTTTCTGGAATCAAAAAAGAAAAGTAGAGTTCTATGTTTTGGGTTTCATACATTTCTTTTCCTTTTCTGGTTCACAGTTGAGAAACTGTGATATTGAAGGGACTCCCTTCCCCATTATGTTCCAGGAAAACCAGTGCAGCCCGTCAAGCGAGAACTTCTGCGACACAGGGACTATAAGGTGGACCTGGAATCCAAGCTTGGGAAGACAATTGTCATTACCAAGACCACACCACAATCAGAAATGGGAGGGTGAGTTTTTGTTCATCTTTCTCTGCAGTCAACAGTAGATCTAATAAACTATATTGGTTTTAGAAGTGCTAAGAAGGGTCCTTGGCCCCAGGATAACAACACTTTTGTCTATAATTCCATTCTTAGATTTGTTTTTCTTTGAGTCTCCCAAGTTAACAAGGTAATGTCACTCCAATGGCTTCTGCGTATTAGCACTGTAATTACTACTTAATGTCTTAAAAGGGGTTATTTGTTCTCCTGCCAGAGAAGGAAATGGAGGAAAGGACTACTTCTTAGAGATTTCTAGGGAGAAATTAGCTGGAGCTTAGGAGCTATTGATAGTGAAGAAAAGCGTTTGAGATGCCAGATAGCCTTTAAAGGCTATCGTTACTACGGATTACCTGGTTGTGTACCTTCTTCTCAGACCAAGACTTCTAAGAAGAAGCATCCAACAAGAGCTCTTCACCTTTTTGTCCACCTGTACTGCTCTATCTAGTTTGTTAGGTTTTCCAGCAGGAAGTCAACATATATAGCATGAATGACCTGCTTAGTAAACTTGTTGTTGTTATTTTTCTATTAATTCTCTACTGCTATGTAACATTGCTCCCAAATTTAGCAGTTTAAATAAGAAATAGCTTGTAAATTCTATGGGTAAGGAGTTTGGAAGTGGTTTAGGTAGGTGGTTTGGGCTCAGCATCACTCTCAAAGCTGCAGTGAAGGTGTTGGATGCGACTGTAGTCATCTGAGGCTTGAGTGGGACTGGAGGATCTGCTCCCACACTATCTCATATGACTATTGGTTGGAAGCCTTACTTTTTGACTCAGCCTCTCCATAGGGCTTCTCACTACAAGGCACAGCAAGTGATCCAGGAGGGAGGAACAGAAGGATGGACTAAGACAGAAGCCATGGTATTTTATAACCTAATCTTAGAAGTGACATGTTGTAGTTATGTGCCATAGAGTCAGACCCGACTCATAGCGACCCCTCCTTGGGTTTTCGAGGCGGTATCTCTATGGAAGTAGATTGCCCAACTTTCCTTCCGAGGAGTGGCTGATAGGTTTGAACCGCCAGCCTTCTGGTTAGCAGTCAATTGCCTTAGGCACTATGCTACCAGAGCACATTTCATTGGTCTTAGGACCTACCCTAGTACAATATGGGAGAAGAATACACAGATTTGTGCATACAAGGAGGCGAAAGCTGTCTTGGAGACTGGCTACTGTATTCTCCTAAGAGCTAAGGCTTTATAGATGTGCGAATTGGCTCTTTGTTTTAAAAAGATTAACAATGTTTTACCTAGAAATAGGAGTTTCTTTATTGAAAACAATAAGATCCTTAAAACTAGATTAGGTCTAAGTCCTGTTCTTCCTGTTTGCTAGATACTACTGCAATGTCTGTGACTGTGTGGTGAAGGACTCCATCAACTTCCTGGATCACATTAATGGAAAGAAACGTAAGGCTTGGAGGTAGTTTGTGACAGGCTAGAATTGGGTTCTGGAGGTGAGGGAGGCAGGAAAGGGTGGTTTCTTTTGGGCTCCTTTTTATTCCTAGGGAACTGCCCAGGTACTTCAGTACAGCCCATCCTTTTCTCATCTATCTGGAAGTCATGAGATGAAGTACTGTTCTAGGATTGCAACAAGTCCAAACCATGCTTTTCTATGTCAGGTTGCCCTCACTGGTGCCATCTACAC